TTTTTTTTTTTTTTTTTTTTTTTTTTTTTTTTTTTTATTGGAAGCCCATTTACATAACCTGAAAGTTAAACTTGATGTAAAAGTGTTTGAATTTAATTAGAAACAGAAAATGTGTGTTCAGCAGGGGAGTACATGACTCTTAGGAACAGCATAAGTTGTTTCTTTGATTACATTGAGACTTTAGACATATCAAGAGAAGCCAGGGATCCAGAATAAAGTTATGTTGGAGGAAAACATTGCTTAATTTTTTTGACCTTAGAGTTGAAACAGTTTAGCATTAGGCCATAGTAACAGTTAGAATTGGAGGAAAATCTGACAGGAGCTGACAAAAACTGGAGAGTGTTATTATATTAGGCCTTCTTTAGGGGAGAAAAAGCAGAAAGCAGTGAGACACAGCAAAAGTTAAACTGAGATGATTTTGAGAAGCTTTTAAAATAAACGTTATAAAATTAAAGGTAAAACTTGTTGCAGTTTTATCAAGAACAGATTAATACCTTAAGAAAACCTTGTTTTAACATGGGGGGAGCAATGTTACAAAAACTATCCTAAATAATTCCCTTTCAGTTATAACCAACTTAATCACCTACAAAATTCCTTTCATAAATTCTTCACAAACCTTCTTATGACCTATACAGACTTACTTTTGACATGCTTGGACTTTGTGACTTAAACATTCTTCTTTCTTAAACAACCAGTCATTTTGCTTTAGAACAAGACTTTAGCATACAAGATTTTTTTCTCATATAAAACCTTTTTTTGAATATAACCTTCCTTTCCCAAAATACCTTTTTACATTTATAACTTTCTTTCATGTCTCTCTCATTCCCTGGTTCCTTTTACCTTGTTTTTGTGTATAACCTTTAAGTAACCTTTGAATTAGACAAAAATTATTTTCCTTTTGTTAGGAAGTTAAGGTTTGTACTGCATGTTGGTGTGTGAGTTCTGTGGGTGGGGGGGAGTACATGAGGAGGTAATCTACATACTGTAGAAGTCATCCCCACTTAAGAGATTGTTCAGTTAGGTTTCTTGCTAGGGCTTGTTTGAATGAGTGTGGGCTATATTTTAACCCCCTGAAATGGGACTATCTAGGCTGAAGTTTCTATGTAGTCCATTTTGACACTGCTGTAAAGAAATACCCAAGACTGGGTAATTTCTAAACAAAGGAGGTTTAGTTGACTCATAGTTCTGCATGGCTGGGGAGGCCTCAGGAAACTTACCATCATGATGGAAGAGGAAGCAGTCACCTTCTGCACAGGGTGGCAGGAGAGAGAAGTAAGGAAGGCAGGAGAAACTGCCATTTATGAAACCATTAGATCTCGTGAGAACTCACTATCACAAGAACAGCATGGGGGAAACTGCCCCCTTGATCTAATAACTTTCGTCACTCTACATTTGCAGATTACAATTCTCTTCCTCAAAACATGGGAGTTACAATTGGAGATTAGATTTAGGTGGGGACACAGAGCCAAACCATATCCAGTGGCCTGTCCTTCTGCACCAAGGACACTTAACCTGGAGAAGTGTCCTTAGGACAATTTCGAATGGGCTGGAGGCTTCTAAAGCAGCAAACAGTTAAGCCTGTCTCTTGTCCTTGCATTTTTCTTTCTCTGTAGCTCTGTCCCCCTTATTCTGTTCCCAATTATTGAAGAACTTGAAGGCTATGTTCAGCAATGTTGGGAAAGAAGTTTATGGTCTCTAATCTAGCCTTTAGAGTTCATGTCTAATGTCTGGGGATGCCTGGCTGATAAACAGCAAAGATGATGAGGCCTTCTGGGCTCTTGGGGTTCATATTAGTATATATTCTCATAGCCTCAGCCCGCCTGGAATAAAATAGGTCTGAGTTTTCATTTGACCCCTGTCTTATTTCTCTTAGTTTGGCATAATTTACAGGTTTTATATGGATGTTTTTATGCCCTCAATCAGCCAAGTGATCATGTGATTATAATGTTCCCTGCTGTGGGCTCCCTCTTGATAACCCCACCTAGGATCAGTGGCAGGTGCTGTAGCTTTCCCTGGGCCAGACTCCTGGGGGCTTGGGGTATGCACCTCATCTGCTCACCTTTGAGCCAGAGACCAAATGTGGGATTTTTCCTCATGGGTGCAACAAGTGGTGAAAATAATATACATGTCCTGCCAAGTGAGGTAGAAGGAAGCAGTAGTCCTTTACATTCCTTCATGAAGTGAGAAAGGCCCCGACTGAAAGAGCCAAGCTTAGTTTTTATTTAGGAAAGATCAGACACTGGAAAAGGAACATGGGCTCTAATGGTTCCTGGATCCCCATTTGCCACGTCCTGGAGCAGCAAAACTTTTTCTGGGGCTGAAATGGAATAATAAATGGCCTCTGACATAGTATGAGAAGGGGAGAAGGGTCCCTGATAAAGAGGAGGCACTGGAAAACAACATCGAAGTTTGGGATGTTGAGGGGAAGGTGAAGGAGAGGGAGCAGCTGGAGTAGGTGTGATTGAATGTGAAGGTAGTTTGTTAGAGGAAGAAGTTCTGGTCTCAACCCATCCAGCTAGCTGGAGAGAATGGAAGAGAGAAAAAGAAAGTCCATCCATAATGTCAGAAAAGTCAGTGGGGCCAGATAATAAAGCCGTGCACATTCGGAAGATTTGGTGGAGATCAGTGGAGATCAGGATCCCGAGAGAGAGAGAGTCATAAAAGCCTGGACATAGGAACTCCAGACCATTTAGAAGAGTTGCAACAGAAAATGGCAAGCTGTAAAATAGTACTGGGGGCAAGGGTCCCACTTGGAGGCCAGGGGGATTCCTGATCTGAAAGTTTATAAGGTGGCCATGTTGTATTACACAAGAAAATTAAACTTTCTTTTTGAGAGTCTGAGGGTCAAATTTATCCCAGTATTTTAGGATGCAACCCAGAGATGAGTCTGAAGGAATAGATGGGGTTTGTCCCATAGTGGGACTGGAAAACAACAAGCTGCTTGGGGCTAATAAATAATAGTACCCACCTCGTAGAACTGTTGTGAAGACTAAATAAGATAATAAAAAGAGATTGTTTAGAACAGTGCATAGTTTATAATAAATACCTAGTCAATTATAATTATTATTATCATCCCTTATCAAACTTTCAAATCAGGTCTTCAGCAAGCTGGTCATAAGACAGAAGATCTAAGATGTGAATCCAGGCTCTCTGGGTTCTTGTATAACTGGATAACAACTCATCAGAAAAAGCTATTGATCTGAAAACATGAAGTGCTACTAGGCTTAGATTAACGATGTAAAATGTGAGCTTTTTTCCTCCTACTTCCTATTAGTCTATTTTCTGGAGTAATATAGAACAAACTTAATAAACAAATTGCAAATATTCAAGGGAACTTTGAATATATCATCTAGATGGACAGCTTGTTCTCTTTGAAGACATACAAATGGTCATGGTGTTTTTTTAAATTGTATACACAAAAGCTATAAAATTATGTACTGGTTTAATTAGTCTTGCTTAATTAGCCATTATCTGATCAATATTAAAACTCCATCTTTTTTTTCTTTAACATCTATTTTTTTGGTTTTTAAAGATTTTTTTTCTTTTTTTTTTTTTTTGTTGCAGGACAAAATTGTTTATTGAGTTTTTATTTATAGCAGGTGGCATAGCCTGATGATCTCGAAGTGGGATATGCTCATAGCTGGTATTTGCCAAATAAGTAATATACTCATGCAAAGAGTCATATTTTCTGCTCTACTAGAAGCTGTCTTCAAGAGAATATGCTTTTACTAAATACGATAANTTTTTTTTTTTTTTGCAGGGCAGGATTTTTTATTGAGTTTTTAGCTATAGCTGGTAGCACAGCCTGAAGAGCTTGAAGTGGGATAGGTTCATAGCAGGTGTTTGCCAAATAAGTAATATACTCATGCAAAGAGTCATATTTTCTGCTCTACTAGAAGCTGTCTTCAAGAGAATATGCTTTTACTAAATACGATAAAATTTCACAGTGCCCTCCAAGGAACTGCTCTGTGTTGTGATGGTGGCTGGGTGTGAGATGGGACAGGGGAGGAAGGGATACAATGTGATGGAGAATACTCTCTCAGATACGAAACTACGTATACGAGGATAATAGAATTGAATCCCATTTTGTTCATTTTTGTTGTTGTTTTTTTGAAAGGTCCTATTCTCCTAAAAATCAAAATTTGGTAGTATACTGGACTGGCCAAGTGTGAATGTCTGCTATGACAAAACCTCCATTTAAGGGAAACTGTCTTGCCTTTAGCCCTTGCTATAAGGGTAGTTCCTTTTTTGTATTTAGCTATAACCCCTGGCTATGGCTGAGTAGACCCAGGAAAACTGAACCAAATAATAGAGAATTGTGGCGTGGTATAAAAAGATTAACTGGCCTAATCAAAATTTTCCCTGGAAAATTAAAAACTGTAAAACGTAGAGAGATGGAGGCAGTTAACAATGAGGGCAAAAAACTGAAACAATGTATTAGAAAATATAGTGAGATAAACAGGATAAGATGTATTATCATATGTTATAGGGGAGCAAAAATATGAGAAATTAAAGCCATTTAATAGTGAAATGGAAAGAATCAGATGTTTAATATTAAGCTGTGTAATAAATAAGGAAAGCAGTGGAAGATTGACTGCCTGTTTGATTGATTCATTTGTTTATTCAACAGATTATTTTTTTAGTTGTTAGCATGTACCAGGCAGTGTTTTAGTCCAAGAGTATTGCTCTGAGAAAGAGTTAAGCCAGTGATCCTCAACCACTTGTGATTTTGCCTACCAGAGGATATTTGGCCATGTCTAGAGACATTTTGGTTGTAACAGCTGGGAAAGGGGGGTGGTATTGGCTTTTAGTGAGTAGAGGCCAGGGATGTTGCAAACTATTCTACAATGCATAGGATAACTCCCTACAAAAATAGAATCATCTTGCTCGGAATGTCAGTAGTTCTCAGGTTTAGAAACTCTGGGATAAACCATCATTAGGATGTAGTTCATGGAATAATTGTTAGTTTGTAGTTGACATTTAACTTTCTGTGTTTTCAGAATTAAGGAAGTTCACTGGAGTAAAATGGAGGCCTCTGTAATATTACCCATTCTGAAGAAAAAACTAGCCTTCCTTTCAGGTACGTTTTCTTCTTAAAATTTGAAGTGTTTGATATACAAACTTTTTAATAGTTTTTTCTTTGATAAGTATGACAAATGCATTTTATTTTTTTAATGACAGTTTTATTTAAAAGGTATTTTTAAGACATCTTTAAATCAGAGTGGAGAACTAGGAGAGCTAACTCTATACTGTTTCTTGGCAGTCCAATTTATTTTTCTAATTTCAGTTTTTTTACATTCGGGGGTACATGTGTCTGTCTGTTGCATGGATCTATTACATGATACTAAGGTTTGCGGTACAATGGAGTCCAATCACCATCGCCCAGGTAGCGACCATAGTATCCAGTAGGTAGTTTGTCAGCCCTTTTCCCCTTCTCTCCCTTTCCTGGAGTAGTCTCCAGTGTCTGTTGCTTCCATCATAAAGTCCATGTGTGCCCATTATTTCACTCCCACTTATAAATGAGAATGTGCAGTATTTGGTTTTCTGTTTCTGTGACAATATTCAGTTAGGATGATGGCCTCTAGCTGCATCCACATTGTGGTGAAGGACATGATTTCCTTGTTTTTTATGGCTGTGTAGTACTCTATGATGTACATGTACCATGTTTTCTTTATCCATTCCACTGTTGATAGACACCTAGGTTGACTCTATATCTTTGCAGTTGTAAATAGTGCCATAGGGAATATTTGAATGCATGTGTGTTTTTGATAGAGCAATTTATTTTCCATTGGATATATACCCAGTAATCAGATTGCTGGATTGAATGGTAGCAATCCCATTACTAGGTATATACCTACAGGTAAATACATTGTTTTATAGATTTCTCTGTTTTAAGTTCTCTGAGATGTCTCCAAACAGCTTTCTCCAGAGACTGAACTCTAATTTACATGACCACCAACAATGCATAAGCATTTCCCTTTCTCTGAAGCCTCACCAGCATCTTTTATTTTTTGACTTTTTAATAATAGACATTCTGACTGATATGAGATGATACTTTATTGTGAATTTGATTTGCATTGCTGTAATTATTTGTGATATGCATGCTTGTTGGCCACTTGTATATCTTCTTTTGAGAAATGTCTGTTCATGTCCTTTGCCCACTTTTTAATGGGGTTGTTTTTTCCTTGTTGAATTGATTAAGTTCCATAGGGATTCTGGATATTAGGCCTTTCTTGGAAGCATAGTTTGTGACTGTTTTCCCCTATTTTGTAGGTTGTCTGTTTACTTTGTTGATAGTTTCTTTTGCTGTACAGAAGCTCTTTAGTTTAATTATGTTCTACTTTTCAATTTCTGTTTCTGTTGCAGTTACTTTTGAGGATGTAGTCATACATTTTTGCTAAGGCCGGTATCCAGAATTGTATTTCCTAGGTTTTCTTCTAGGATTTTTATAGTTTTAGGTTTTATGTTTAAGTCTTTAATTCATCTTGAGTTAATTTTTGTATATGGTGAAAGGTATGGTCCAGTTTTATTCTTTTGCACATGGTTAGCAAGTTATCCCAGCTCCATTTATTGAATAGGGAGTTCTTTCCCCATTGCATGTTTTTTTGAAGATCAGATGGCTATAGGTGTGTGACTTTATTTCTGGATTCTCTCTATTCTTTTCCATTGGTCCATGTGTCTGTTTCTGTACCAGTGTCATGCTCTTTTGTTTACTGTAGCCTTATAGTGTAGTTTGAAGTCAGGCAATGTAATACTTCTGGGTTTGTTCTTTTTGCTTAGAATTGCTTTGGCTATTTAGGCTCTTTTTTGGGTCCATATGAACTTTTGAATAGTTTTTTCTATTCTGTGAAAATTGACATTGGTAGTGTGATAGGAAAAGCATTAAAAATTGTAGATTGCTTTGAGTAGTATGGCCATTTTAACAATGTTGACTCTTTTAATCCATGACGATGGAATGTTTTTTCATTACTTTATGTCTTCTGTTATTTCTGTCAGCAGTGTATTACAGTTTTCCTTGTAGATATATTTCACCTCCTTGCTTAGGTGTATTTTTTAGGTATTTTTTGTGGCTGGTATAAGTGAGGATATGTTCTTTATTTGGCTCTCAGCTTGAGTGTCATTGGTGTTTAGAAATGCAACTTATTTTTGCATATTGATTTTTTTTACCCTGAAATTTTACTAATGTCATTTATCAGTTCTAGAAGCCTTTCGGTGGAGGCTTTAGGGTTTTCTAGGTATAGAAACATAAAGTCAACAAAGAGAGATAATTTGACTCCTTTGTTTTCTATTTCTTTGCCTTTTGTTTCTTTTTCTTGCCTGATAGCTCTTGTTAGGACTTCTAGTACTATATTGAATACAAGTGGTGAGAGTAGGTATCCTTGTTTTGTTCCAGTTCTTAAGGAATACTTCTATCATTTGCCTGTTCAGCATGATGTTGGCTGTGGGTTTGTCTGTAGACAGCTTTTATTATTTTGAGCTGTGTTTTTTCAGTGCATAGGTTCTTAAGGGTTTTTATCATGAAAGGATGTTGGATTTTATGAAAGACTTTTTCTGCATCTATTGAGATGATCATATGGTTTTTGTTTTTAATTCTGTTTATGTGGTGAATCACGTATATTGATTTGTGTATGTTGAACCAGTGTTGCATCCCAGGAATAAAGCTTACTTGAATATGGTGAATTAACTTTTTGATGTACTGCCAGATTCCGTTTGCTAGTATTTCCTTGAGGATTTTTACATCTCTGTTCATCAGGGATATGATGAACATATCCTTTAGTTTTCTTTTTTGTTGTTGTTGTGACTTCACCAGGTTTTGGTGTCAGGGTGATGCTGGCGTCACACAAGAAGGGATCCGTCCTCTTTAGTTTTTTGTAATAATTTCAATAGGGTTGGTACCATCTCTTCTCTGTGTGTCTGCTAGGATTTGGCTGTGAATCTGCCTGGGTCAGGGTTTTTTTTGGTTGGTAGATTTTTAAATGATCAATTCAGTTTTATAACTCAATATTGGGCTGTTGAAGGCTTTAATTTCTTTATGATTCATTCTTGGGAGGTTCTGTGTTTCTAGGAATTTGTCCATTTCTCTAGAGTTTCTAGTTTCTGTGCACAGAAGTCTTTTGCATTCCTTGGGATCACTTGTAATGTCACCTTTGTCATTTCTAATGGTCCTTATTTGGATCTCCTCTCTTTTTTTTCCTTTGTTAATCTAGCTAGTGGTCTATTGAGTCTGTTGATCTTGTTTATCATTTTAAACTTTTGGTTTCATTAGTCTGAGTGGGAGCAGTGGTATGGTACATTGGGTGTAGTGATGTTCTGGAGTTTGGATCTTTGAGTAATTTTCTACGTGCTTTAGCATAGATACCGTAGTTCGGCCAATTCAGAGTTATTTGGACTGTATTATCTTGCCTTCTCTGTGTTATTCTCCTTTATGTCTCTTCCTAATTGCCTTGATAATACTAATGTCCTTTTTTCAAAGTATATTGTGTCTCTGTGTAAATTGACATGTTTTCCTAGTATATATTATAAATGACAAAATAATTTAATTCCACTAATGTTATCGTTTTTTTAGTTAATATGTTTTCTTCTTTCTTAATACTTCTTCCCTCATTGTTTGATATATATGTGTTCTCCATTCTTTTCTGATACGAATGATGATGTTGTAAATATTCTTCTTTTTACTTGTAGCTTTATGCATTTTTTTTTATTTTATACCTAGAAAGCTTTGTGTATTTTGTACGAGTTTAGCAGTATACCTTTTTGTAAGTAGAAGTGGTATAAAAAGAATACACATTTAAATTTGTGTTAGATTTTGTAGATTGAAACTCCAAGAAGAAGATTGTTTCAATTTCTATTTTTCCCAATGGTGTTTGAAAATGCCTGTGTTCTCACACTCTTTTCTATAGTGAACACTATTATTCTCTTATAATCTTTACCATGACATTTTTGCATCTTGTGACACTTGTCTCTGTGTAGCATTTCACCCTTTGACCATAACTGTCTTGAAAGTCTTTTTCCTGTTCACTTTCACCCCTCTTGTACTTTTACACTGGTGATTGTTTTATTGTCCCTGAATGAAAGCCGAGGGAATAGAGTTAAATATAGCCCTGAATGTTAAATTTATCTTCTAAAAACAATTCTTCAGTGAGTCAGGGTGCCATGGTCCAGGTGTGAGCCTCTTTTTGGGCTTGGGTTAATGCGTGGATAAAGCTTAGCAATTTTGAAGAGTAAATGAAAGATTTCTTAGCCTATTCCTATTAACTTCCTCTCGTGACCATTGATTATTTAAGCCAGTAATTTTCAAGCATTTTTAGTAGTAGAGAAAATCTTTCCAAACCAACAGAGTCATTCAGGGGATGCAGTTTGAAAACCACTTGTGTTAATCCGTTTTTTTTTGAAAAATGAAACTTATATGCTGAACAAAAAATATGCAATTGAAGTCATTGATTGATTAGTAAGTTGAATCATCTCCAATGAATATTTGTTGACATTAAAAAAAATGGTTGGATAGCAGTAATGGTTGACCTAATGGAGGACAGAAGTTCATAGGTTGTGAATTGCGTTTGCGTCACTAATATGAGTCTTTTGCTTCACACCTTTCAGTTTTTAGTGATAGATGTCTATTGATCGTATGGAATTGTTTCTTTCAGTATTTGCTGCTTTTTAAGATTCTAAAATGACCACAAATGTCAGCTTGGTCAGAAGATGGGCTTCAATATGAAAATCAAACATGTAGGAAACTTTCAAAGACACGATGTGGGAATAAAAGTATTTAAAAGTTACGTTATTAACACTGATGGGGACTTGAATGCACATGAAGTGTAACTGTACTCTACTGCCTTGATTTGAGGCTTCAATATCCAGGTCCCAAGCACTCTTCTCGGCTGGGCAAGGATTTATCTTTATTGTCTTATGAAGAGTATATGCCTGTCTGACCTTCGTGAGTTAACTCAGATCATTCCTCATCACAGAATACTCCTTTCACTTGGCTTACAAATTCTACCCATTTTTCTTTCTTTTCGTTTCTTTCTTTTCTTTTTCTTCCCTTTTCTCTTTTCCCCTTTCCCTTCCTTTCCTTCTTCCCTCCCCCTCCCCCCCCCACTTCTCCCCTCTTCCCTTCAACTCCCCTCCTCTCCCCTCCCCCGGAGTCTTGGGCCTATAGGCATGCCAGTATGCCCAACTCCATTTTTATAAAGTCTTAACTTTTTAATGAAATTTTTCACATTTACTGTAGCTCTTAATCATTTTCTAAATCCCTTTTTGTAATATTTTATAATATATCTTATACAACATAACAGACTGTTACATTTCTTATGACTTAAATCTTTTCTTCGTAGGTTGATTGGAAATTTATTTTATTTTACTTGCAAATACTTATTGTGCTGGGCACACAAGAGGTGTTTAATGAATTGATTACATTAAGGAGCACACTAAATGGAAGAAATTTAAAGTGATGTTTACTGTGTTTGGGTGAAGATTTCATGGGTGAATTTTTTCCTTTTTTTTTTTTAAATTTTCTATAATTCTCCTATATTATCATAAACATTTACAATCTATAAGTATCCATTAGATATTTTCCAAATTATGTATTGAACTTATTGTTTTAGTAAGATTGGATTCAAATATATATTATTCAGGTTATGCCTTAATGTATATTACATGTTAAATTGAAATCTTTTTTTTTAATAGGAGGAAAGGACAGACGGAGTGGCCTCATTTTGACAATTCCATTATGCCTCGAGCAGACAAATATGGATGAGCTGAGTGTCACCTTAGACTACCTACTCAGCATTCCAAGGTGACTCTAAAGGTGTCTTTTCTTAAACCTCAGTATGTTTTCACTTAGTTGCTCATGATTCCTTCTATTGTTGAAGTATATTTTGCTATCTTATCTACTTTTATTCATAGTGAAATTGTAATTATAGATTCTAAATTCAATGACTTATAACATCATTGCAGATAAAATGCTTATTTATGCTCTTGATGAATTTAATTATATACAGATTTCCAAAATGTATGTATTGTCAACTTTTTAGGAACACAGTGACTAAGCATCTATATCATGTAACTTTAGAAAAATTAGAGAATTTAATCAGTAGAAGGCATCTTTATATAGGTAAGTTATTTCACTATATTGATATAAATATGTCTGCAGGTTTTAATGTGTTGAGGGAATAAAGACTATTAGGAGTTAATTTTTGTTTTAAAAATGTAAAAAATGTTTGTTTATATTTTAATCCAAGGTCCTTGAATTTTAATTTTCACATTTCTTCAGTGGAGACAAAACTTAAACCTCTTTATTTTCCTGAGCCTACCCATCATTTCAACAACCAAAATAAAGCTTCCTCCCCATCTGCTTCTCTCATAATTGGTACTGGGTACAACTGTGACTGCATGTTAGTCATCTGGAAATTTTTTTCAAAATTCTAATGTTGAGGGGTTCACTTCCAGAGACTCTGATCCATTTGTTCTTGGGAAGCCTGCTTATAAGAATTTGTAAGAAGTCTTTTAAGCTTCCTGTGTATTTCTAATGTACAGCCAGATTTGTAAACCACAGCAATTAAGCATGTGAATGAGGGCAGGTTTCTGTGTGTGTGTGTGTTTGTACAGTGTAGAGGTAGAAAAAGGAACAAGACTATCACATATACTGCTCTTAAGTTCTTGCTAGTGAATTTTAAACATTTTAGAGTAAACAGTTCTTCATATGTTTTTCTTATAATTGCATTTTATTGATATACTAGCTTTTTTCCATTTAAACCACCTTGCAGAGTATGGGGTTAAAACAACTGATTTTAATCACACCTGCATCCAATAGTGTTCTATAATTTAATGATTCTGTTTTATTTTTTTAATATTGTGGAAATAGAGGTCTTCATGTGAACATTTTCAATTTTTTCACTTTCTGGGGGTGAAAATTATTAGAACCTGTAGTCAGTACATTAGTATTGAATAATCTTGCTAATCCCCTGAGCTGTGGATTGCTAGCCTATTCACCATTAGATAACAAACTGCTTTTTAGGTAACCGTGACTAGCCAGACTTACAGCTTACAAATTATGAAAAGATTATTCATAGATGGAGTCATAGAAGGTTAAATATGTAAAGTACCAACTGAACCAACTGCGTTATTTTGTAGTTGAGGAAATTGAAACTCAGAGGTAATGGTTACTTGCCCAAGATCACACAACCAGTAAGTCACAGAGCTGGAATGAGCGTCTACAATTCCTGACACCAATTCAGAGCCTTTTTGTACTTCAAATGAATAGAGTTCAGTGTAGTTGCATCTCGTGTGAAATCCAGATTTGAGGTTCAGATGAAAAGCAAAAATTACTAATTGTCAGAGTTATTTTTCAAAAATGCCTGAGGGTGGATCAGAGACTGTGTTATCTTCCCATGAACATATTAGGTTTTCCTTCAACATTGGAGCGTGTTATTCTTACTAAATTCCAGAAGTCATAGTTGGCTTGTGATTAGGTTTGTTTTAAGAAAATGCATGTTTGTATATACTGGGATCACATTCAATTCAACAGGATGCTCTCCCTGTCAGAGGCACTGGGTAACTGAGGCAGGCTAAAGGACCAGCAGATTCATTCACAGCTCCAGGCTCATGTTCACCCTGGTATAGACAAGCAGGAAGTACAGTGGGAGGCAAAATAGCCTATAGTATTTAAATCTTCTCTCTCTTTGTCATATAAATATGGTGTATGATGTTCCTCCAGTATAAATGATGAATTAGTTTCTGCATATCTGCACATACTTGCCAACTAGCAGAGAAGGTGTAAGTTGAAGCAACATGAAAGAACTTATTCTAGCAAAACAAAATAGATACCTGGATACTTCGTTTTCTTAATTGTTTTGCAAAAGTTTGGCCTTCTCAAATATTCATGAAAACTCTATCCTTCTGCTTTCTTGGATCAGCCTCCCATAATTTTGGCTTTAACAAACGTGGCTGTCAGCTTTTTGTCAGTACTTGCCATTTTCTTAGAGAGCTAAGGTGTTTTTGATTCCTCCATTGTGATGCTGGAGAACAGCTAACTAGATGTGTGATCTTAAAACCAATGTTTTTCATTCAGAATTTCCACCACTCAAGTGCTTTTAAAATGTAACCCTCCCAACATTTTATTAAAATGCTCATATATACAAAATAGGTTAAGGAATTATACAGTGAACACCCATATGTCCACCACTTAGAAAATCTAAAACTAACATTATACTTTATCATGTTATCTCCCATGTTTCACCTCTCTTTTTGTCCTAGGAATGTTTTTAAATTACCCTGCCAGATCAGGCCCAGCATGTGTCTAGAAAGGTTTTTTCATTTCTAGTATATCTACATTCTTGTGTGTCCTGCTTTTGTCTCCCAGTATCCAGCTGTTAATGTTTAACTCCGTCCAGCTGTGAACTGCAGACATCTCCAGCAGTATAGCTAGCTAATGTGGCCTCTTCCTAATAGGAGATGTCCAAAATTGATTTTTTTGTGCAATGACTATCTTAATGTTTTAAATATAACTTTCAAAAATTTATGCAAAAATAAAAAGAAATAACTCCATTTCTTTCTTAGACTTTGTGCTTATTTTTAATGGTCACAGGAACAAGGTGTGATATATAGCTATTTTAAATGGGTAACCTAGCTCAGTTGAGAATGGAGGCATTTCTTGACTCTTTTCCACACAGGTTGGCCCTAAGTTTGTTCTGTGTTTCAGATACTGAGTGTACAGTATTTTGGATATTCATGAGTGCTATGAAAGCAAAGCATGAAAAGAGTGAGCAGAGTGATAGAGTGGTGATACTTTACAAAATAAAATGATATTTTACCAGAGATGATTAAAAGGAGGGACAGACCCTGCAGAATCTAATCAAAGATCATTGAAGACAGTGAGCATTAAGTGCAAAGGCCTTGAGGCAGGAGCAGGCTTAACGTGTTTTGAGAACATCAAGGAGGCTGGTGTGGCTGGAGCAGTTTTAGAGAGGGACACAGTGCTGGGAGGGCAGTCAGAGAGTCAGCAGTCAGATCATGGAAGACCACGTAGGCCGTGGTAAGGGCTTCAATTCTGAATGAAATGGAAAGCCGTGATGTGATGTGATGTGATTGATGTGATGTGATGTGAGCTATCTAACATTATTAAAGGCCCTCCATATTTAAAGTATAGTTCTAGAAGCTGCCAAGACATTTGCAAGATAACATTCTTGCTTTTTGGAAGCATATTATCTAATGATGATGAATTATAAACAAGTAATTATTAAAAAAGCATAAGTGAAATTAGTGCCATTATGTAAGTATCAGCAGAGTTCTATGAGTGGAAGAGAAGAAGCCTTTAGTTGTAATCGAAGAAATGAGTTAAGAGCTGCAGGATATTGGTCCCAGGAAATTCACTAACATTCTCTTCTATGTCAAAAGTTAGTGGACTGTTTAGACAGCCTCATGTCTATTTAGCTATTTTAACTTAGCTACATCACCCTTGAAAGGCTTAGCTGGACTAGGAACTAGGAGACTAGGTCTTAGTTTTTTTTTTATTACTGTTCTTAAAATATAGTTATAAACCTGCTAACAGTGGGTATAGGAATTTATTATTAATGGCACTACAGGTCCTACAACAGGCCCTATATAAAGTGTATAACATGCTTTTAAATTAACTATGTTGTTAAAAGCAGTTTAAGCCATCATTCCACTTACAGGGATGAAGTAAAAAACAAAACTATTTCAAGTACTTGAAAGGCCACTTGGTCTGGCAACTTTGAAATAGTTATCTTTGGATTCTGTGTATTTTCATTATTTATCTTAGTAAAATGTGAGAAAATGACAGGGTTAAGTGTGTTTCTAAGTACTCTGAAAGATAAATTTAGAGTATTTTATTCCTTTAAGATCACTACAGATGGTATTTGCAAGCTTCATTACTTTCTTAGTATTAATGTACAGATTAATTTATAGTATGCTTTGAAATATAAATATACTGCTTGTATAAAATGTGTTTAACAAAATGGCTGTGTAACCTGCAACGCAGGGATAGTACCACATTATGGGAATGGCACATTTCTCTTGGTGGGCCCTCTCCTGGATAGCTGTGCCTTAGCTCTCCTTCCTGCAAACTTGCATAAGGCATTGGTAGAATCTCTGCGTTGTTGCAGATTCTCCAGACCACTCAACAGCCAGCTACCCTGCCTAGCTGATCTCTTTTGGGTTTGTATCCTCTCCTAAGTCATGACAGTCTTCTTAGATGTCTTGTTCGTGGAGAATTCCAGGAATCTCCTCATTACCTGACCCCACAGATAGTAATTAGATGAAAGGTTTGCTTTTTTTCCACAAGTCTTTTATTTTTAAAAAGATAGAGATGGAGTCGGCCGGACGTGGTGGCTCATGCCTGTAATCCCAACACTTTGGGAGGCCAGGGTGGGCAGATCACTAGGTCAGGAGTTTGAGACCAGCCTGGCTAACATGGTGAAACCTGTCTCTACTAAAAACACAAAAATTAGCCGGGCATGGTGGCGTGTGCCTGTAATCCCAGCTGCTTGGGAGGCTGATGCAGGAGTATTGCTTGAACCCAGGAGGCGGAGGTTGCAGTGAGCCAAGATCACATCCCAGCACTCCAGCCTGAGTGACAGAGCAAGACTCTGTCTTGGAAAAAAAAAATAGAGATGGAGTCTTGCTGTGTTGCTTGGGCTGGTCTCAAACTCCTGGGCTCAAGTCATCATCTTGCCTTAGTCTCCCAAAATGCTGGAATTAGAGATGTGAATCACCTTACCTGGTCCCCTGTGCAAGTCTTTTATTTTCTTTTGCTAACCCACAAGTGATCACTGTATTGCCTTACCTTTAATTTTTCCCAAAGAATGTTTAGTGGATCCTTTATTTGTGCAAATCAAAAAATAGAGTACTTGACCAGGCGTAGTGGCTCATGCCTGTAATCCGAGCACTTTGGGAGGCCGAGGTGGGCAGATCACGAGGTCAAGACATTGAGACCATCCTGGCCAACATGGCGAAACCCTGTCTCTACTAAAAATACAAAAATTAGCTGGATGTGGTGGCGTGCGCTTGTAGTCCCAGCTACTTGGGAGGCTGAGGCAGGAGAATTGCTTGAACCCAGTAGGCAGAGGTTGCAGTGAGCTGAGATCGCACCACTGCACTCCAGCCTGGCACCTGGCAACAGAGAGAGACTCTGTCAAAAAAAAAAAAAAAAAAAAATAGAGTACTTAAAGTGTTTTATTCAGATGTAATCCACATATTCATAAAAATCATCCTTTTAAAGTATACAATTTGGTGATTTTTTGTATATTCACAGGTTGTGCATCCATTATGCTATCTAATATCAGAGCATTTTTATCAGCCCAAAATAAACCTTGTTCCCATTGGTAGTCACTCTCCATTCTCCCCTCCTAACGCTTGTCAACCGCTAATCTGCTTTCTGTCTCTGGATTTGCCTATTCTGGACATTTCATATAAATGGAATAATACAAAGTATGTCCTTTTGTGTCTGGCTTCCTTTACTTACCATAATGTTTTCAAGGTTTAGCCATGTTGTAGCATCTGTCAGTACTTCTTTCTTTTTTTATGGCTGAATAATGTATCATCGTTTGGTTATACTATGTTATGTTTTTCTGTTCATCAGTTGGTGGACGTTTGGATTGTTTTTACTTTTTAGCTATTATGAATTATTCTGCAATGAATATTTACATGCAGGTTTTTGTGTGAACATATGCATCACTTTGCCTTACCTCTTGAATACTCTTTTGTTTACTTTGGAACCTCAGCTTCTGTCCTTGCCTGTTCCCATTCTAAACTTTTAGCAATATCATCATTAGAACAGGACATGACTTCTCCAGGAAGCTTCTTGGAACTAGTGTGCATGCTTGGAGGGTGAAGAGAAGGACTAGTAAAGTCCCCTGAACTGCTAGTGGATTTAAATCCCAGGAAACGGTCTACTGTTTATTTTTCCTATAAAGTATATAATTGGGAACAGTTTGGATGGGGACAGGTTTCGCTACCAAAATCTTGCTCTGATAAGCAAAGTTGTAGTTCCTTTTTCTGTATTGGAAGGAGGGCATTTGAGATCCTTATATTAAGTTGGTAAGTAAAACACAGTCATAATAACAATGCATACGTAGTTTTAGCCTTGAGAATGGAATATTTTCCTCCAGAAGCAGTTGAGTTTTATTAGGTTAGACTTCTGGGAAGTGTTTAGTTAATGCTTGAATCACTTAATATAATATAGGAACAACACATTTTCCAACACTGACGATAATATTCTGCTGGTCAAGTGACTGAGAATGCAAAAGTGAGAGCAGAAGTGGGTTAGACATGGTCTGTTCAAGCTTTTTAATCAGCAAGCTCTACCTCATCTTGTTAAATTTCTCCAGAAGAGTGCTAAGAAGCCCATTATTGTGGTTTGTTAATAACTTACTTTATTTTTTATCTGTTTTGAACTATCACTTCACAAATCTTAAACTTCTGGCAGGAAGGCAAGACAAGAAATATATAACACCCTTGGCAATTAATGACTTACTTCACCGTGATCCCATTTTACAGATGAAGAAATTGAGAGGCTAATAGTATTGTTTGAATGTTGCTTTGATTTCCTCACTTTTAAGACGTTGGCTTTAATGCTTTTAGAATAATTTCCTTGCCACCATAGTTTGTAAATTGTCAACATTTCCTAAAATGAGAAAAATAAATTGATTGAGAAAAGGAAAGGATACTCTGAAGAATTTTATTTATTGACAATGTAAACTAAACCAAATGAGATTAATTCTACTCCATATGCAATTAACTTTTAAACTTTCTTTATATAGAATTACGAAGAACAAAATCTGGAGCTTGTTTTAATGCGTTGTAATTTTGTTTTGTTTCAGTGAGAAGTGTAAGGCTAGAGGATTTACCGTCATTGTGGATGGCAGAAAATCACAGTGGAATGTGGTGAAAACAGTAGTTGTAATGCTACAGGTAATTTTGGTTTTGTCTATCAGGAAGTGGTTTTTATTTTACAGCAACAGATCTGGTTAAAATGGCAAATGCATTTAATTTACTGGAGTATGCCTGGCTTCCTAGCAGTGACTGAGTTCTGAAAATGCATTTACCACTACTGGATTGTTCAAATTCAACTCCTTAGGTTCGAATTTAAGCAGTTAAATAAATCTCAACTCTATTGTAATAGATTTGTAAATGAAAATAATATGTCATGTTTAAGTAATTTAAAAAAGGAGGTCAGTGATTTTAAAAGTGTGAGCACTGAAATTATGAGACTTACCTGGGAGCTTTTGCATACTCTGGTGTCTGTATCATTCTCCCTCCTGAACCCCAATCTGAAACTATAGGTAAGTGGTAGGATTGGATAAGTCTAGTTCGAAGAAACTTCTCAGGTGATTCTGGCATGTTTTTCTCTTCTAGTCCCCTATTTCCTACATAAAGCGTCAGGATTTATGATGATCTTATTATTTGTTTATAGCTCAGAAGAAACTTACTTAACAGCTGTGTCCTCAGGGACTTCATCCCCTCACAAATTAACATTTAATAGACATCTATGATTACAAACTTTTTGAGATCCGATGCCAATCTTGTATTTTATATTTCCTCATGTTTCTCACAGAATGTTTCTGTTATCCCTGGCATGTAGTAGGCTCCCAGTAGACATTTGTTGATTTATTTTAAGGGCGTTGAAGATATGATTTGAAAAGGAAAAATAAAACATTTGAGTGATGTAGAGGGCCGATTGCCCTCATGCACCTAGCCTTCTGTGGCAACAGACATTATGGCCTGCAAAACTTAAAATACTTATTATCTGGACCTTTCGGAAAGACTGTATTGACCCCAGGTTCAGAGCAAATGAAACAGAGTAGAAGAACTTTAGAGTCAGACAGAGGTGGTTTCTATTCAGCTCAATGACTTTTGGGAGCTTCTAGCGAGGTAAAATTTGAATTATCCAATTTAAATTAAAGAAAGTAAAGAGGGCCTTCCTCACAGAGACTCTTGACTTACATAGCTCAAAAATGAAGTAAGTACAATGAGAGTAGTTGATGGCAGGCCAGTTTGGGGGAAACATAAATTGGCACTAACTTGGGATCATTCACTTAAGTGGGTATTAGTGATAGTGAAAGAAAGATCAAGAATTTTAAATGAATTTGACAAATAATATGTAGCTGCTTTAGGGTTCTGTGGAAAGGAATATAATTTTAAAATTTAAGTTATAACGAAGGAGAATGGTTCTTAATGTTTTAACATTTATTTAGGTTAATTGGGAAAAAGGGATTCAAGGGATAGGAACAAAGTGGTAGTTTTAGGTTGTAGTTCTAGTTTTAGTGCTTATTACGGTTCTGGTACTGTGCTAAGCTTGGTATATAAATGATCTCATTTAATTTTGGCCCTACAACCTTACAGAGAAGGTCAGGAGGCTCAAGGATTTTAAATAGCTTAAAATTGGAATTTAGCATAAACTAAGGAAGCCCCAGGCCTTGACTTTATCCATTTTAAAGTGTATATTTGCCAGTGGCATGCATCTGAGGTGGTCTCTGAATTTTCTACCCAATTGCCTCATTCTTCTTAAATGTTTAGCTTAAACTTCATCATTAGAACCCCCTACCTACCCCGCTTTTTTAAGTTGGGAACTGACTTTGTCACTCAGCCTGGAGTGCAGTAGCATGACTCGCTGCAGCCTCCAATTCCTTGGTTCAGGCAGTCCTCCTCCCTCAGCCTCCTGAGGTAGTTGAGACTGGAGGTGAGCACCACCACACCTGGCTAAGTTTTTTTTTATTTTGTAGAGACTATATTGCTCCAGCTGGTCTCAAACTCCTGAGATCAGGTGATCCTTCTCCTTCAGCCTCCCAAATCACTGGGATTACAGGCTAGAATCACTCTTTGTGTTAGAAAGGACATATCCTCTGGAGGATTAGTTTTTAAGTGAACACAAATTGGCGTCCTAAAATAACTTTTTCTTTGAAAATAAAAATAGTGTTTCCAGCACTTTTATATTTCAAACCTTGAGAATTAACTCTTCTCTGTGAAAGTTGTTAAAATAACTATTAGGTAAGAAATCCATTAATTATGACCTTGTGTTCTTCCTTTCATCCTGTCATTCAACTGTGTCACAGATGAGCTGTTTGGGACTTGCTGTTTGAACTGGACTTTGATCAATGGCAGTTTTGAAGAACAATCAATGGATGATTTAATCCCCTCTTGCGATTTCTTTTCTGATAGGTATTTTAACAACTTTTGGATTTATTAATAGTTAACATTTTGAGAAGTTGCAATGGCCTCTTTACTTCTAGCCAGACAGTTTCTACATATGAAGTCATTCATTGCTTTCATCTTGGAAGGTCCTGGGATCAGTTCTTTGGGACCCCACGGTGTCTATAACTAGTATTCTCTAAAATAAGGGGCTTGGTTTCTCTTGTTTCTCCCAGCTTTCATATTCAATGATTTTGAAATAATTATCTTCTACAAGGTAGTATATGAATAAAGCTCAATTCTATCTTATATTTCCCAGCCCCTCTGATAAAAGTTTTGATACCATTGAATTTATTTTACTTACCTTAGTCATAATTCAGTTGTTGCAGTAGATGCTAGATTTATGGTGTGTGCATGTTTACCTCTAAAGGTTTTCTATTTTTCCCTGAATAATAGTCATAGTAATTATGATAATTATTCAGTGCTGCCATTTATGGTTAGAACAGAGGCTGGGCTCTTGAGTTTATAAAGTTTTATTGGAACTCAGCTATGCCTATTCATTTGTATATTGTGTGTGGCTGCTTTCCTGCTATCCTGATAGAACTGAGTAGTGGCAACAGAGACATTATGGCCTGCAAAGCTTAAAATACTTATTATCTGGACCTTTAGGAAAGAATGTGTTGACCCAGGTTCAGAGCATATGAAATAGTGTAGTAGAACTTGAGTCAGATAGAGGTAGTTTCTGTTCAGCTCAGTGACTTTTCAACTCTGTTATTTCAGACAAGTGACTTTATTTCTCTGAAGCTCAAATTAGTCTTCTGTAAAATTGAGAGAATGAGATCCACTTATTAATGAGGATTCACTTATTCAACAAATATTTGTAGCGTGTATTCTATTATATATTTCAGATATTTTGTCATAAACACTGGAAATAGAGGGATGACAGGATAGATACGGTACCTGCCTTTGGGAAGCTTATATTCTACTTGAAGAGTTAGACAATAAGCAGTTAAGCAAATTAAAGCAAGTCATGTAACAGCCCATGCTGATAAATGCTATGAAGAAAAATATAGCAGTAAAAGAGACTGAATCAGATGATGCCACTATAGATAGGGTGGACAGGGAAGGCCTCTCTGAAGAGGGAATATTTGAACAGAATCTTAAATAAACTGAGGAAGCACTCCTAGGTATAAGGCAAAGGACATTCCCGATAGGGAAAATAGCATGGACAAAGACCTGAAGTGGAACAGACTTTTCATATTGCAGGAACAGTGAGGTTAGCGTGGCTGTTGTGGAGGAGTGAGCTAGGAGGGGAAGGTATTAAGATGAGATCTGAAAGGCCAGCAGGGACCTGAGCTTGGAGGGCCTTTTAGGTCTTAGTAACAGGTTTGAATTTCATTCAGAGTGCAAGAAAAAGTCCAGCAAGGAGGCCTGTTACAATGATATTTCAGAAAGCTGGATAGTTTGGGTTGTTAACAATGCAGGCAGTAGAACTTGGATTTCAGATACATTTTAAAGTTAGACTCTGTGGGACTTGATAAAATATATGTGAAATATATTAATTCAATAAGTGTTTGTTTCAATTCATTAGGTAGTATAAATAACCATATCAAGTAAATGTGAAATTGTATTTGTCAAAGATTAGCTTTTTGTTCTCCACTTCAAGTTAATAATCATGTAAAATCTTGGCCTCATTGTATAATGACTGATAAAAAACTTAACTTTGGTGAGAAATTTGATTTTACATCTTTTGAGGAAATCTCCAAGATGATTGTGTTAGAAAAATTTTTTTATATTGTAGAAAAAACATTTAATAATTTCTCAACTAAAAGTTAACTCTTACAGTTTAATATAAACTGTAAGAGATACAATAAAACAAAAAGTGATTCACATATACAATTATGCTGCATTGTTTATTTGAAGTGTTTTCTAAGTCAACTTTTTAAAATACTTCTTTATTGACATGTATGTTTTAAAATTTAGAGAATTTCTTCTCTATTATTTTAATTCTTTTCCAAAAGTCTCTTATGTAGCTTAATCTTAACTGGTAATTTATAAATTTAGTAAATTATTCATTTTACATGTGTAATTTGTAATTATTTTTCTGTATTTTGCAGAATGTTGTTCCAGCTGAGGTGTCCCTTGTTTGTGTGGTAAAGCCAGATGAATTCTGGGATAAGAAAGTAACACATTTTTGTTTTTGGAAAGAAAAGGATAGACTTGGCTTTGAGGTAAATGTAATCTCTTTTTCTAAAGTGTGTTATATCTTTTAAAATAGTATTTTTCTTGAGAAAAATATTCAACAAATAGGTACAAGCAGACATACATATAAAAATAGCATGTGTATGAACATAGATACACATGCACATCTTTACTAAGTGCAGAAATACATACAAAGGCAGATTTTCATTCTGGATCTTGCACACGCATGCTTAGCAAAAGTGAAATAATAATAAAACATCTCAGTCAGTGCCTACAAAGTGAAAGTTTCAGTGGTAGGTTCTTGGGGAATGTTTTATTAGGAAAGGATAAGTATTATAGTCACAGAAGGAAGAATGAGAGTAAAGGAGAAACAAGTTTTTAATCTTTTTATGAGTTAAATTTGAGACTAAAGAAAACCTGCACAAATGTTTTATTAAAGACCATATAGTAAATACCTTTCTCTTCAAACTTGTTGAACCATGGTATATGCTAGTTAATACAGTATTGTGGTTTAGTTATTTAATTTGTCTTGTCTTGACTTCTCTAATGTATATAAAATGAATGGGAAATGTAATATTTATGTAGGGCTTTATTATTTTAAAAAATTCATGTTTTTTATTGCCTTTCAACAGACTTGGCAAAAGTTTGAAATGCTTGTGCTGGGTAATGATCTTTTTTTTTTCCTTCATTTTTGTAGTTCTTTTTAATTCTTGTTCCCTTTATGCTGATTATTAGATTTCAGATTTCTTTGATAGTGTTAAGATACATTTGAAATTTAGATTTCTACTTAGTAAAATGGTAGCTACTTTGAATGCAACCAGTAACCTTTTTCTTCATAAATTTAATAGTTTGCATACGTATTAGAATGTTTATGGAGATGGCTATTTGAAAATAATTGATGAAAGTCAGAATTTGATCCACTTCACATTCTTAAATTGATTAAGCATTTGTTAAAGTGCTGTTTTCCTAGAGGTGAAATCATGACTCTCATGCAAATATAAAATGAGCATGAGTCAAATACATTATTCAATTGATTGATAATAAGGTTACCAATAATTTGTAAGCTGTAATTCAAAGAGCATTTGAGAAATGGTTTTTATAGGAAGATAAGATTGCCAGCCAAATTAGATACAAAACTAATTATTGTTCTATAGATCCATAAGTTGTAAACTTTGAGGTTGTCTCTTATGCCACTGGACAGAAATGTACCAGTCTCATGAGACAACAATCACTTACCTTTCTTCTAGACAGAATCCGCACGTTAACTTGTACTCCTACAGAGGTTAATACTTATTGATCAGTCTATAGAGTCAGTTGAAGATATAATCCCACCACTGCGTGAAAGAACACCCAGTAATAATTTTTGCCTGTTTCCGAGATTTAGGTAGTTTTTCTGATAAATGAATTGTATTTTCTATAGAAGGATATTTTGTGAAACTTGATTTTGGACATCAGTGACATACTGCATTGATCACTGTAAGATAATATAAGCTACTTCTTGAAGTTTGATATTTTAGTATCAAGCTAAATATCAGTCTTTCTTTAAACTTTGTATTCCCAGCCAAGAACAACATTATTTAGCATTTTCCTACATCATTTTCTAAATTGTTCTAGAGGATTTATATCCTTAATGGAGGAATCATATTTTCAATACCGTCTTTTTAAAAATATAAGTATTTTTTACTTAAAATATATTAATTTGAAAACTTTCAGATATTTATTAGTTGACTAGTTTGAGAGCTATGTCGTTGCTCAGATTTATCACTCAGCTGGAAATCATAATCAATTTGGTGGTTTCCTCTATTAAACAATTTCAAATAAACCATTGGTGAATAAGTCACTGCTAATTGATACACAACAACTTAAAAATAAGGATGATAATCCTATAAATTTGCCTCAAGACAATTATTACCAAATGTATAAATTATACCAATTTCATAAAAATTGTTATGTAGCATATCAAGATGTCGTTAGTACTCTAAAAATAATGGTACAATAGGTAGTATACAATATGATGAAATCAAATTTGGTTCTTCATTTTTGGAGAATAAGAGTTTACACATTCAAAGAGTTAGGGCCAGGACTTCAAACCTTTTCTCACAAATAGTTGTTTAAAAAGAAATGAAAACTACAAAAACAAGCCAGCTAGGTTTTTTAAAAGTATGAAAGTTAACATTTCAAATATCAGGTCATGAAAATAGCTTTTTGTCTCTATTTTTGAAAGCATAATACCATTTTGATTGTGATATATATGTAATCTTAAAATTCAATATGAAAGGTAACTTTATAAATGATTTATGATAAATCATTGTATTTTACATAACTATTTCTAAATTAACTGAAGATCCTTAATGTCATTTGTTAGGTGGGAAAAATAAAAATTGGTCTTACATTTTTATCTTGGTATAATATGTTATTTAAGGCCAGGTGCAGTGGCTCACACCTGTAATCCCAACTCTTTGGGAGGCTGAGATGGCAGTATTGCTTGAGCCTAGGGCAAAAAATAGAAAAATTAGCTAGGCATGGTGGTGCACACCTATAGTCCGAGTTACTCGGTAAGTTGTGGTGAAAGGATCGCTGGAACCCAAGAGTCAAGGTACAGTGGCACTCCAGCCTGGGTGCCAGAGAGAGACCCTGTCTCTAAAAAAAGAATGGTTTAAGATTTTTATTGTGAAGTTTGCTTTAATTCAGTATTTTGTAATACTAATAATTAAGTAAATTATTTTTTAAAAAATTAAAATGAGCTTATTGTATATACTAATTCATTATGTCTGCAAAGAAAAAACGTAGAATGATATGGAGAGTGTATGAGATTTTCATAACTAGGAAATAGTGATTTAGAGAGTCACAGTAGGCAAATTGTGACCAAAGAAATGCTGGATACATTTGGAAAATTTACTCTTTTAAATATTTTCTGAGAAGTGACAGTGTTGAGTTTGTGGTTTCATCTTCCCCACAGACAATGAATTGTTTGATTTTTTTACAAAAGTTTTGCCTTTAAGTTAGAATATGATGTTTCCATCAATTGGTCCCTTAATTAGAACAGGTGACAAGTTAATAAATATTTGTTTTACAGAAGATAAAAAATTAACCAATATTTAATATAATCTAGTACAGTTATATGTATTTGTGCCATTTTGTACTTTTCAATATTTTTACTCTAATTCACAATGTTATTTCTTACTCAGTCACTGCACAAAAGATTTTCTAAGTTTTTTTAATAGCTTTAGAAAATGTTTCTTTAGAATTTTCAGCAATTGTATCATTGTTTCTTTGTTTTCATATTTAGAATTATAGGATGAAAATGAATTATACATAATTCATGTAATCTCAATATGATTTTCAGGGGGAGATCTTTTCTAATTTTGTTCTTACTTTTAGTTGATTGCTCTCTGAGTCTGGACTTTACAAAAATTTGATAAAGGGCTGGGCACAGTAGCTCACACCTGTAATCCCAGCACTTTGGGAGGCTGAGGCGGGTGGATCACCTGAAGTCAGGAGTTGGAGACCAGCCTAGCCAACATTGTGAAACCCCATCTCTACAAAAATAAAAAAACTAGCCGGGCGTGGTGGTGTGTGCCTACAGCTGCTTGAACCCAGGAGGCCGAGGTTGCAATGTGATGAGATTGTGCCGTTGCGCTCCAGCGTAGGTAACAAGAGTAAAACTCCTTTTCCAAAAAAAAAAAAAAAAAAAAAAAAAATTATGTTTTTTTCTTTGTTTTTTTCTTCTTTGCCAGGTAATAGAACATTCCCCATAAGACAAACCTGATCCTCTGATTTGCGTTGCTTAATATTTAAACTTTCATATACGTTTGCTGTGTATGAAAATTTAGTGGTCTCTTCAAGGGCTGTAACAGAAAGGAATATAGGAAGCCCTACAAGTATTTTGTAATTTAAAAAGCTGTAATGAAACAATTTATGGAAAATCACCTAGTCTGGGATTCTTAATCTTGTTTTGTTGCATTGACCCTGAAATGTGTCAGTTTTCTCTTTTTTTGAGATAGTGTTGCTCTGTTTCCCAGGCTGGAGTGCAGTGGCTCTTGGCTCACTGCAGCCTCTGTCCCTTGGGTTCCAGTGATTTTCCTGCCTCAGCCTCCTGTGTAGCTGGGATTACAGGCATACGCCACCATGCCTAATTTTTGTATTTTTTTAGGTTTCTCCATGTTGACCAGGTAGGTCTCGAACTCCTGACCTCAGGTGACTGCCTCCCTCGGCCTCTCAAAGTGCTGGGATTACAGGTGTGAGCCACTGCACCTGGCCTGTTTCCTTGATGTTGATTTTTTGCTTTCAAACATCTAGAAATGTCTACACAGTTTCCTTTTTCAGCATTCCAGTTCTACTTCAGGCCTAAATCCCACCCTGCAAATGGTTTCTTATGTTTGCTTGTGCATTTGAATTTGCTCTTCACAAGCAAATTCACAGCGGTGAAATCACACCCTTCTGTGGTGTTTGCTATCGCTGGAGTGGAGTTGAATTGCCTGTTTATTCAAACTTGATTTGTCCTTTGGGAAGCAGTTGTGTGTAATTTATGTGTCGTATCCTGGTAAGTGGTATTTTCCAAAGGCAGGTGGACAGTTTTTCACATTTGTAAACAAAATGTCTTTTTGCAGTGCACTGGAAAGGATTCTCTTTCCTCTTATACATGCTGCTCCTGACCCACTTTATAAAGGTGATTGTTAGGTGAAAAGCACATGCATAGAATACGATTTTCCTACTATTGCATACTCTTAAATGTCTTTTCCCTTCCTTCTTTTTATAAAAGAATGTTTCTCATGAGATGGAAACATTTATTGCTCTTTAGCCAGCCTACTCCACCCTTTCTCCTCACCTTCACCCTCTTAAACAAAAATGAGATTATTGCACTGGAAACTGAGATGTTTCATCACAGTAGATAGTTCTCTAAGTGGTTAATTTGAAATTACTGTGATTTTTGAGTTTGCCAATTGTTCAGACTGTTGCTTTTCCCCCACATACTTAACTTCGAGATACCTTTGATATTGATAAAGTTCTATATGTCTACATGGCAGGG